TGCCACGGAGGCTCGGCGCGCAGGCCTCTGCCGAGTGCTGGGACGCTTGAGTTTGGGAGTCCACCTTGGGGCTTCCCGTGCTGGTCGTTCTGAGTTTCGGCCGGATGATATCGTATTAGGACGGGGACGTCAATCGATCGAAGATACGGTGTTCTACATGGGAGCCCGAAACAACTCCAACAATAACACTCTGCCCAACGCCCCTCTGCCCTTTGCAAGCCTCTGCAAGCTGACCCTTGTCTCGTGGTTCCATCACGGTTTGGGAGACGTCTGATCGTTTCATCGACTTCGGGCTCCTAATCGGAGCCTGCGCAGGGGCGGCGACGAAGGCATCAGCAGTGCTGCCCAACAGAGCCAGGCCACCTGCGAACATGGAATTGTTTCATCCGAGATTCAGGAGACAGAGGGATCAATCAAGCTGCCAGCTGCCTTCATCTTTGCCTTAGCCTACCTTGATTCCTGAAGCCGCTCTGCAGAGACGCTGCCTGACACTGCCTTGTCCCAGGTTATCTAAGTGTTCCTGTTGTGTGTTTACATTTTAAATTGGCACTCGGCACTTGCTAGTTAGTTCTGGCAGCTTGGTAATGTCATTTTGGGGTGTACCCACTTACACTTAGTGGCTTGGTCTTCTTTTGTCGATGTAGGCTTGCAAGACTTACGATTTCGAGCACTACGAAATTGGGGCATACGCTCAAGGAAACCCGGGTGGCCACTTCCCCATGGACTTCGACATGCCTGCACTGCACACATACGCAAAGAACTGCTTACATGCAGTTGCGGAAAGGCTACTTTCTCTCTTCGCCTGCGGCTGCCCCGGCGAGGGCAATGTTGGACGGACGCTGAGCCATCCCAGGAACGCGCTGCGGGACGCGGAGAAGGGGAGAACTATGTATCGACCCAGTGCAGCGGCTGCGGCATGCCGGCACTTCCAGGCAGTGCGAACAGGGTATATATGCGCAAGACGCATAGCTCAGCGCTCAACTCACATCGCCTTTGTCCTGCTTGATTCGATTGCCGCTTTCTTTGCGAGACCTAACTTTCCAGGGGCTCTTCCAGCCCTGTCCCGTCTGGCATGGGACGCTGGCACTGCCATTCCAAGGCATTAGTGTGGGAAACAGTCGGGCATCTGTGCCTCTTCTCGAAGCAAAACCGCTATGCACCACAGTCCCCCAGATCTTCTGCAAAACACTGCGCAGCATCAAACGAAACAGCTGGGAGTCTGCAACTGTTCCTAATTAAATGTCAAACCTCCAATCAACTAGTCTTGCCTAAACTCGACGGAGGGGGCGTTGCTCATCGATAGGAGACGGAGGGAAGTCTCTGTATCACCAGGGCCTCCAACTTTGCACGGCCCGCAGAAACCTGCACTTAGATCGGGCGCCGCACGAAAGACTTGGCTGCCGATCTCTGGGCAAACCAATGCTAAAGGCCTGATGCAATGTTGCCGGGATTTCATGCACTTTTGCATTACAAATCTGGTGTGCTTTGCTTACAAGTCTTGCAAGTCTTTGCACAGACTTGTAAGACTTGTAAGGCTTGTAAGCAAAGCACACCAGATTTGTAATGCAAAAGTCGTAGATCTTGCCGTGCTCGACATCGCCCATACCTGAACCATACGCTCGTGACACATGACACACAGTGCTAAGCACAGAAACATCAGTCAATCATTATGTCAGTAGGGTTTTGCTCATCTTATTCAGTCAACACGGCATTCNNTTCTGAGCCCATGACCCTGGTTGTTGCCGGTGGCCAGGGTCAGAAAGGAGCATATCATACCACGGCCATCGATGAGGTTGCGGTCGAACAGCAAAGGACTCGGCGGCGAAGTGGGCTGCGGTGGCCAGGTAGACATAGCCTGCCTTCGGCTATGATGTATGCAACCAGCACATGTTTGCCGTTCCTTGCGACAACTAATAGACTGACTTACTTATGAGCGGAGGTTTCGGCTTTCCCTCCGGCTTCGGCATGTCTCCCTGTGCAATTCGTCAACACAGTGCTACAGTGGACGAACTGATAAGTTCGCAAGCGAAAGCTTTGCACTGCAACAGAATCAGCTGCGCGACTTCCACATCGCAATATTTATATGCGCGTGTGTCCACATTACTCCATGCCAAGCCGCTTGATCAGCGTGGACGAGTACCTGCTCGACTGGTCCAGCGCACGGATCTCACGCTACTCACCGCGCACGTCAGCTGCCGTCACTCCCATCACTGTGACCACCACCATCGTTCACTTACTTTTCTTGGATGTCTGTTGCTGGCAGCACCAAGTCATGTGCCTGGCACTCTATGCAGAACGCA